CCCCTTCAGATCCCTACATTTGTATCTTTGTGATAAATACCCAGTAGTGAAAATGCTGGATTGTATGGTAGCTCTATTTTCAACTTTTTGAGGAACCTCCATACTGTTTTCCAGAGTGGCTACACCAGCTTGCATTCCCACCAACAGTGTAGGAGGGTTCCCCTTTCTCCACATCCCCACCAACATCTGTCATTTCCTGACTTGTTAATTTTAGCCATTCTGACTGGTGTGAGGTGGTATCTCACTGAGGTTTTGATTTGGATTTCCCTGATGCCGAGCGATGTTGAGCACTTTTTCATGTGTCTGTTGGCCATTTGGATGTCTTCTTTAGAAAAATAACTGTTCATGTCTTCTGCCCATTTCTTGATTGGATCATTTGTTCTTTGGGTGTTGAGATAAGTTCTTTATAGATTTTGGATACTAGCCCTTTATCTGATATGTCATTAGCAAATATGTTCTCCCATTCTGTCGGTTGTCTTTGGGTTTTGTAGACTGTTTCTTTTGCTGTGCAAAACTTTTTATCTTGATGAAGTCCCAATACTTCATTTTCGCCCTTGCTTCCCTGCCTTTGGTGATGTTTCTAGGAAGAAGTTGCTGCGGCTGAGGTCAAAGAGGTTGCTGCCTGTGTTCTCCTTTAGGATCCTTCTCTAGTGTCCATGGAACACTCTCCAGAATAGATCACATCCTAGGTCACAAATCAGGTCTCAACTGGTACCAAAAGATTGGGATCATTACCTGCATATTTTTCAGACCACAATGCTTTGAAACTAGAACTCAATCACAAGAGGAAAGTCGGAAAGAACTCAAATACAAGGAGGCTAAAGAGCATCCTACTAAAGAATGAATGGGTCAGGGCGCCTGGGTGGCTCAGTCGTTAAGCGGCTGCCTTTGGCTCAGGTCATGATCCCAGGGTCCTGGGATGGAGCCCCACATCAGGCTCTCTGCTCAGTGGGAAGCTTGCTTCTCCCTCTCCCAGTCCCCCTGCTTGTGTTCCCTCTCTCGCTGTGTCTCTGTCAAATAAATAAATAAAATCTTAAAAAAAAAGAATGAATGCGTCAACCAGGAAATTAAAGAAGAATTAAAAAAATTCATGGAAACAAATGAAAATGAAAACACAACCGTTCAAAATCTTTGGGATGCAGCAAGGGCAGTCCTAAGAGGAAAGTATATAGCAATACAAGCCTCTCTCAAGACAAAAGAAAGGTCTCAAATACACAACCTAACCCTACACCTAAAGGAGCTGGAGAAAGATGAGCAAATAAAGCCTAACCGAGCAGGAGAAGAGAAATAATAAAGATCAGAGCAGAGATCAATGAAATAGAAACCAAAAAAAAAACAGTAGAACAGATCAATGAAACTAGGAGCTGCTTCTTTGAAAGAATTATCCTGTATTTTAAAGCATTGCATTTGTATAGTTTGTAATTATAGAAGAACTGGCATTTTTATCTCTGTAATATCCATTCTTTACAAGAGTATAAGCTCCACTATGCCTCGCACAGTTATTAGAACATAGTAGGTCACTTATCAAATTGTGAACCATCCTGTGGTGAAATTACCTGTTCTTGGCGGACGCAGTTGCGTGAGGGGATTTTGCCTTCTGCTGTACTGTGGAGCAAAGCTTGTTCCTCTCCCGCTCAGCCGCGCAGGTTGAATTGACCAAAGCAATGGTTATGGAGAAGCCTAGTCCCCTGCTGGTCGGGCGGGAATTTGTGAGACAGTATTACACGCTGCTGAACCAGGCCCCAGACATGCTACACAGATTTTATGGAAAGAACTCTTCTTACGTCCATGGGGGATTGGATTCAAATGGAAAGCCAGCAGATGCGGTCTATGGACAGAAAGAGATCCATAGGAAAGTGATGTCACAAAACTTTACCCATTGCCACACTAAGATTCGCCATGTTGATGCTCATGCCACTCTGAATGATGGTGTAGTGGTCCAGGTGATGGGGTTGCTCTCTAATAACAACCAGGCTTTGAGGAGATTCATGCAGACATTTGTCCTTGCTCCTGAGGGCTCTGTTGCAAATAAGTTCTACGTTCACAATGATATCTTCAGATACCAAGATGAGGTCTTTGGTGGCTTTGTCACTGAGCCTCAGGAGGAATCTGAGGAAGAGGTAGAGGAACCTGAAGAAAGACAGCAGACACCTGAGGTGGTACCTGATGATTCTGGAACTTTCTATGATCAGACTGTCAGCAATGACTTAGAAGAACATTTAGAGGAACCTGTTGCTGAACCAGAGCCAGATCCTGAACCAGAACCAGAGCAAGAACCTGTATCTGAAATCCAAGAGGAAAAGTCTGAGCCAGTATTGGAAGAAACTGCCCCTGAGGATGCTCAGAAGAGTTCTTCCCCAGCACCTACGGACATAGCTCAGACAGTACAGGAAGACTTGAGGACATTTTCTTGGGCATCTGTGACCAGTAAGAACCTTCCACCCAGTGGAGCTGTTCCAGTTACTGGGATACCACCTCATGTTGTTAAAGTACCAGCTTCACAGCCTCGTCCGGAGTCTAAGCCTGAGTCTCAGATTCCACCGCAGAGGCCTCAGAGGGATCAAAGAGTGCGAGAACAACGAATAAATATTCCTCCCCAGAGGGGACCTAGACCAATCCGTGAGGCTGGTGAGCAAGGTGATGTTGAACCCCGAAGAATTGTGAGACACCCTGATAGTCACCAACTTTTCATTGGCAATCTGCCACACGAAGTGGACAAATCGGAGCTTAAAGATTTTTTTCAAAGTTATGGGAATGTGGTGGAGCTGCGCATTAACAGTGGTGGGAAATTACCCAATTTTGGTTTTGTTGTGTTTGATGATTCTGAGCCTGTTCAGAAGGTCCTTAGCAACCGGCCCATCATGCTCAGAGGTGAGGTCCGTCTGAATGTGGAAGAGAAGAAGACTCGAGCTGCCCGGGAAGGGGACCGTCGAGATAACCGCCTGCGGGGACCTGGAGGCCCTCGAGGTGGGCTGGGTGGTGGAATGAGAGGCGCTCCCCGTGGAGGCATGGTGCAGAAACCAGGATTTGGAGTGGGAAGGGGAATTGCTCCAAGGCAGTGAATTGCTCTTCAGTTGATCTTCACGCAGCAGTACAAATCTTCTAGCTCCTGCAGAATGGTGAATTTCTTACACCAGCGTTTGGTATCCTGGAGTTTGACCCTAGTCTATTATAAACTGCTTAAGTTTGTACAATTTTACTTTTTGTGTTAATTATGTGTGCTCCCTTTCCCGCCCTTCCCTCTCCTCACCTTTTAGTCCTTCACTTCCAATTTTGTGGAATGATATTTTAGGAAAAACAGATTTTTAAAGAAGAGAAAAAGACTGAATTTCCTTGCTTTACTTTTGCATATACAGACTGGATTTTTTTTAACAGCCGTTTCCCCAAAGGAATGTGTCTTGCTTATTACTGACATTTGGTATGTTTCATTCATTGGAATATTATTTTCTATGTGTTTCAAAAGCCTGTGAGAAACACAGGATTTGATAAACATTTTGAAGGCAGGAAAAATCCAAATTGTTTCTTCTTTGAGAGTCATGACTACCTTCTGGTGTGTAGAAATTGCCATTGGAAAAATTGACAGTTTTGATTCTTGCTGGTATGGTTAAAAAAATAAAAGGTGTTAGTAGAGTTTTTTTTTTTTCTTTTGGTATGTGATCACAAAACAAATATAAACCTGTTTTTACCATTTAAATTGTGAGAAAGGTTTTAAATGTCTAGAATGCAACTGATCTAGATTTCTTTTGAAGTAGTTTTTTTCATGTTTAATTTGTATTTGTAAAAAAACAAAACAAAAAAACCCCAAAAACAAAGAAACCCCAAAATCCAAATAACACAAAACCAGAGCAAAACTGTTGTGCCTTCTATTTATCTTTGATTCCAGCCTTGGCAGTTGTTTAAAGAAAAAAAAAAAGTCTAGATTTGTTTTATCAGGTGTAGAGTATGTTGGGAATTGAAGAATCCCTCTTTTGACCTGGTATGTCTTCTGTTCATTTGTTATGCCTTATTCTTAAAATTGAGTCTCAAACTGGAATTCCTTTAAGGACAGATATGCTTCTATGAGAGGTCCTTTTCGACCTAAGTAGTCCAGCATTTGTATTAAGTTTTATTTCGGTAAATATTCAGAATCTTAATCATAGCCCATAAAAAGGAATATGACTTTAAAAAAAAATTACCTGTTCTTATAATTCTCTTTCTAACTAAGATATAAATTCCATGGGGCATAGATTATGTCTGTTTTATTTACCATTGTATTCTCAATGCCTGGCATTTAGTAGTTGCTCACAAAATATATACTATGTAAAGTCATTTGAATATTTGATCCAAACAACAGTCTGAGAGAGGAAATATCAAAAGGTACTTGAGTAAAAACTTCCACTGAAATGATTGCTCATGAAACAGGCAGGCATCAAAAGACGAGCTTCTCTGTAAAGCACTGGGCACAAGCTGCTTCATAGTAAAGTTTATATAGCAAGGAAGGGGAATCTGTTATGGACTAATTTATTCATCACCGAGCATTTGTTGTAGACTTGCCATGTGTCAGGTCCAAGAATGACTGACGAGTTCCTGGTGGGGAAGAGGTTAGTTATGCTGGCAAATGCTGTAGTCATCTCATGCAGACCACACTGCTCTGCCTGTTTCTTTCACAGAGTCATGTATGAACTCAACTCATGCCCTGGAATTTTCTCACCAGTTATTTTGGTTAATTCAGCCCTTTCTATCCTTCAAAGCCAGCCTAAAGGTCTAGATCTTCTTAGATCAAGCCCATGGTCTCACAAAGACAGGGCTTTGTTGTTCATTCTTCCTTCCATTACTGTTTTCATTGGGAACACACACTCCTCTCCATAATACTTTTCTGTTTTTCTTTTTTTAAGATTTTATTTCTTTATGAGAGAGAGAGAGAGAGAGAGAGAGAGAGAGAGAGAGCACAAGTGGGGGAGGGGCAGAGGGAGAGGGAGAAGCAGACTCCCTACTGATCAGGGAGCCCAACTTGGGGCTCGATCCAGAGACTCTGGGATCATGAGCTGAGTGGAAGGCAGACAGATGCTTAACCGACTGAGCCACCCAGGTGCCCCTACTTTTCTCTTTTTCAAGGACCTTTTCAAGTCTGAATTCCCTGTGGCTGGAGAAGAATCTGGAAACATATGCTAGGTTCAAAACTGGAAATAATTCTTTTCCCAGTCTAGATTTTATCTTGAAGACAATGGACTTATGGGACACTTTAAGCAGGGGAGACAACAGGAGCAAGTTTGGTATCTTAAGGATTACTCCAGGAGTAAAATGGAAGTGGATCAAAAGGAAAACCAGGCTAGAGCCTGGAAAGATCAGCTGAGATATCATTACAATAATTCAGGAGATGCTAAAGGTCTGAAGTAAAGTAATACAAGAGGAAGAGCGGAGAAACTAAGGGTCCTGGCTTGTACAGTCTGGAGGAAGGAGGCAGAAAACAATGAACTTCTCCCTGTCCGGCTGGTCTTGCAACTAAGGGCTCTCTGCTCAGGTGGTGGACATTTTAGATATATACCCCTTTTACCCTGCTTTATTCTCTCCTTTTTGGCTCCTCAGGAAAATTTCCAAAGATGCAAACAACTCAAAAGATTTGTGAGCATTTTTTAAAATAAGAAACAGGAAGCTAGTAATTTTAAGAAACCCAAACTCTGCTTTCACTTCTCTTTTTGAGGCCTTACTGTCAGAAACTTAAACAGCTCTTTTCAAATGGATTTTCAGGACGGATGCTTAATTATCTTGTTATTTATGGCCATTTTAACACTGTTGTAGAGAACCTTTCAGGAACTAAGCTGAGGCCATCAGATCATTACCTTTGCTGACAAATTTCCTGACTTCAGTGATGCATATCCACAGGCAGTGCCCTCTGTGTTTGTATATATTTCTAAAATGAGACCCTACATGTCTGAATATAGAGAATTTTGCCTTTCCTTTATGAGGCTGAATTGTCTAGTGCCCCAAAGAAAGGGTTGTTGACAGAGCCAATTTGGTGCTTTTGTTGGCTTATCCAAATTTTAGAAAAGCCATTCTCTTAGTGTTCACTATATTTCCTAGTTGGAGTGTATGTTTAGGAATCTATGCCTCTAAAAGATAAACCTGAAAATATTTCGTTCTGTTTCAGAAAGGAAATGGGATGAAGGAAGAGAATATTGTGGCGATAACTTTTGGTGTGGGTTAGACATTAACTAAACACTTTGCACATGTTATTTCATTTAATTTTGATAACAAACTGGCAAAATAAAAATTATTTTCTGCATGAGATGCTCTGAGAAGCCAGGCTACTTGCATGACTAATCAATGTCAGAACCAAGTTCAAATCAGAGTTTTTTCAAACTCCAAAGTTCTTTTTCCTAATGCCTAACTGCAGATGAATCAGTTGGCCAGTGAGTATTTCATTTTCACAACTATGTGGTTGGGGAAGAAGAAGGATAAAAATAATAGGAATATTAATTTTGCTGATAATATTGGATTATTTTTAAAATTTTTTGTTTGGGGTCCTTAAAAAAATTATGTGATCCACAGAAATCACATGGATTCACTAAGAATGATCCCCAACTTTAATAGGAATGAAGGGCAAATTATGGTATTGCCATTAACAACATGTATTCTTTTCATTCATTCTTTCTTTCAAAAAATGATAATTGAGATACTGAATTTAGCAAGATATCTGGTAAAAATCTAGGCAGATATTATTGAGGATGATATTGAAAAAGAGAGATTAGATGAGTTGATAACTAAATATGAATTTAGATGAACTCATTACTTAAATAATATTTATACATTAATATCAACTTAAAAGATGTCTTAAAAAAAGATGTCTTCAGTAACATATCTATTATATATTATGAATACCATCTATAAACATAGCATTTGCAGTTGACAAGGCATTTTCATATTTTTGTACATTTTCTCTGCTTTAGAGGAGTAAGCCATAACTCTCAGTGTTATATGCTTTACCCAAGGTCACCTGCTCAGAAATGGTGGCATCAAGCCTCAAACCTAGTTATTTTGATTCCAAGATCTATATTCTTTACACCCTACTTAGACTTTTTTTCTCTTTCTTGGAAGCATTTGTATTAGTGATTTGTATGAAGTCATGGAAGCATTGCTTAGCAAATTTGTCCTTCACAAAGAACTGGAAGTTTCAACTTATGTGACTAATGACAGAGTCAAAATTAGAAGAAAAAAAACTTTTCCAATTGAAAATTTGAAATTAAACTAGAAGTTGAAATTTAGCAGCGATAAATATAAACCCTGGCAAGTAGGTTCAATTAATGCATTCAATGACCTTGGAGATTCTGTCAAACTATAAGAATTTTTTAAGTGTCCAAAATAATTAATGTTTTCTTTTTATTTCCTTTCCTATTTTATAGAATTGAAATCAGCATTTACCTTTGATATCTACTGATTTTATGGACTATTTATATAGGAAACAATTATTTAGAGGCATATAATATGAATATTAGTTTTGTTCTGCAAATGAACTGATTGATTACAGCTAGTTTGAGGAGAATAATTTGAAAAATTGATGTAGAAAGACTTAGGGTCGAATAATGCCTATTGTATACATATTAATTGAATGTGTCATTCTGTTACAATTTGCAAAACAATTTCTATGTAATGAATGTTTAACAGCAATGAGAAAATTATAGAATATCAAAACAGCCATACATTTATAAATCTAATCTTGCTACCAGAAAGGGCATAACTTAATCACATTTGAAATACATATTCATCATTCATGAACATACATTCAAAATATAGGTTGGTCATATACTTCTGCACAAAACAAAGGCATTTATTAGAATGTCAAAGGCTGATTTTTTCTGTCATAATCATGATTACAACCTATTGCTGAATAAATCCAGAGATAATGGTGACAGGTAAACGAAATGCGCTGTTTCAACTTCAGACATACAGTGTTCCATCTGTCTTCAAATGCAACACAAAGGTGGGACTGTTACAGATCCTTTAGACTATTAATTTTCATTTTTTTCTTTTTTATAATGGAGGTGGATTTATTGTCTTGTATGTTCATGTTTCATAAGCTCTCTGATCTTTCAAAGGAAAAAAGGAACTAGGGTTTTGATCAATTTAAATAATGTAAATGACTTACTACTTCTAAGTTTCCATTGTAGGTGAAACTATAGAAATGAAAGAAAGAGGCTTAGGGAAATATTGTAGCATGGTGGCTAAAAATACAGACTTCAGATAGGATAAAGCTGATTTTAGTTCTTATCTCTGTGGATTACCAGGTGAGATGTCAGGCAAGTTATTTATCTAAACCTCATTTTTCTCAAATATAAAGCTGATTATCAATTAATCCCATAACTTAACACAAGGCCTAGACCAAAGTAGGCATTCAGTAACTTGATAAATAACTCAATATTATTATCACTTTCTCAAGGAGCTTACAATTTGTTTCCTCACACATCCAAAGTAATTTTTTGTTTTTGTTTGTTGGTTGGTCTGTGCATGATAAAAATACCCTTAATTTATTGATGTTAATTTTAGTAACATTAGTCAAATAAACTAGAACTCAATGTAAAATTTTAAATATGGCAAAAGATTACTACTTTTCTGAATTGATATCATATGATGACACCAAACTGAAAATTAATTCC